ATGGACCAAATCCTTGCACCGCATCCTTGGGAAAAGTACGAGATATTTATGCCACCCTATTTTTAACTTTCACTGCATTCTCCAGCTAGTATAAAGGATATTACTTGGGCCAAATCTTTGCACTGTCTTTTGGGGAAAAAGTATGACAAATTTAGCTATCATGCCAGCCACAGATAAAATTATACACATCAGCAACAGACAACACAGTACCATGAGAGCGAGGTTGCCACCGAGGTAGTTAGCCTGGTCCTCTGCAGTCGCCTTCTTGTTCAGTTTGGAAAGAAGATAGGAGGTGGCGGGGAGACGGGCCCGGTCAGAGCAGAGAACACACTGCCACAGAGCAGAGTAAAACGACGGCTCATCTGTGGCCAGGCAGATAGCATCCAGCAGTCCAGTTATTCTACAGAAACAGCAAACAGCACAGTGCAACACATTTTGGGTGAGCCAGCGCAAGAATCACATGGCATAAATTTCAATTCGGTTACAAACATAATATTATGTTATGAGCTGCAGAGATACATACTGTTATATATGGAGGAAATTGACGACTAGGTCAGGGTTCTCCCTAGAAAAAAACTAATGAGCGGAGGAAGCTCCTATACGTGTAGTTTGCGGGTGCTCATTGTCAATATTCTGCGGGAGCTCGTTGTCACTACCGTCATTGTCCCTCCGAGTTCCTTCACACTCACGCAGAGTAGCTGATTATCACTTTCAGAGAGAGCTCCATGTTGTTGCACTCATCTGCCTCACTGCTTCGTGTAAAATAGCTTGTGATCTTCACCATCTTTGCCATTGTCTCGCTTTCGTTCCTCAGAACATGTGCTCCGTGCGTGTAGTCGCGCACACGCACTAAATTTCAATACCACGCGGGGGTGTACTAGCTAATGCAACGGTGGCGGCGAATTAATGCGCGGAACTGCACCGAGCTTCCGCACTCTGAGGAGAACCCTGTAGGTAAGCTCACTTCACTCTCCAATATGCACGGCGAGGGTTACTTAAAACTGCGTAATCCTTATCACTATAGTCAACATTTAGTATGTACAAACTCATGTGATAGCTTTGTGGCGCTAGAGTTGGACATTACTTAAAAAGCAGAATAGCATAATTCGCACAAATGATGGTTACTCTCCTATGTACGTATGTATATGTACACCAATTAACATAATACATAATAGCAATCCATATGTACACAAAAAATAGAAATGGACACAATGGCGATCCGAGAGTTATGTTGAGAGGCTTGTTGCACATAAAAACATTACAGGCAATGATGAAAATTACGTAGCACTTCAAATTTTTAGGAAAAAAATCTAAGGCTGACAAAAGTGCCACCCTACATCTCTCCAGACAGACGTCTATGGCAATGCCAAACAGTGCGCTGCCTTCGAGATGTACTGTATGTGGGTAAAGGGTAGATTTGGCACTAGATGATCTGCAGAGTAGCTAATAAATGTACTCTCTTATGCACAGACCAAAAATCTAAATATGGCAATCCAAGTTATGTGAGAGGATTCTGAACATTAAGCGCTACTTTAACTTAGTATTTTAGGCCAAAAAGCAGTTGAAAAATATAGCTGCCAAAGTCTAATGGTTAAAAAATATAGATGAATGTTATGCAACTTATCCATGGATTATTTTAGGCAAACAATTTAATTGCAAGGGTTGAAAAAAACTTAACACTATGGGCGCTGCGCGCCACTTAAATGGCGCGCGCGTAATTGCTCAGCAACGCCACGTGCCACTTTAGTGGCGCGGAATTATGTATTACGCGGATGGGCGTGGCAATATTCCGCGCAAGCGTAATTCCACGTACATGGAGAAATTTCCTTAATACTACGCGGCGCGCAGTGTTAAAGTTAAAATTCAAAATTCTAAGGTTGAAAAAAAGCCACCCAACATCTCTCCAGACAGACGTCTACGGACGCAGTGCTATGCCGAACTATACGCTGTCCTTTGAGATGTATGTGGGTCAGTGGTACATAGATTCGTGGGTAAGGGGAGGAACCAGAGCTGTTCCCAGCCAATGCTCTGGACCACCTGTCAGTTTCAGTGCGGGTCCGGGATTCGAACCGGGGCACCTTATGTGACAGTCCCCACGTCTCTAACCACTTAGCCACTTGGGCTGGCCACGAGAGCTGATGAAAAAACGTTCCTCTTATACGAGCGCTAACATTACTTCATTATAAAACAAATGACCCCAGACGGGGATCGAACCCCTGACCTCAGGATCCAGTCTGTGGGTTCTTATCCACCAGACCACACCCAATACTTGGCAGGGGCCTAGTTGAATACTGTATGATAATATACTAAAGTGCAAACCCTCGGGGGTGCTCCTGTATCCGCATGCACAGACAGGCCCATGCCACAAATTGATGGGTAGGGCTACACACACACAACACAACACAAACAAACCTCAAACCACTGTAGTAACGCTTTGGTACATGGTCATCTGGAAACCCAAATCTCTTTATTCATGTCCAAAACTGTGTGAGAAGTAGCCCAACAGAAGGCGGACTAACTGCCTATAATTATATTACCACCAATTATACAGGACACATCACATACCCACGCAGTCATATATCTTGGAGGAGAACACACCAAAGAAAAAACCCTCCTTAGTGCAGAAGGACATCCCCCACTATAAGATCATATTTTTAAGTTTTAGCTTGCATCATCCTAAGCAGCAGCTTGAGGATAGCTAATTCCAACTGAAAGTGAGAGAACTGGACCCTTATAGGCATGAGAGGCAGATTAACAGGAGTTCAGTATTATACACGATACATACATAGTCAGAAGCTGATGGGCAGTTGGCTCAACAGCTTGCCTATAATGCACTGCTCTATAGTGCCCCAGAAGTGGTTGTGTAAACTGTTTATACAGGTAGTCCATACCGCACCTATGGCATACTTTCGGGACAACAAACTTTTGACTGAAGGATGGTGGTAGGAACAATAAGCACTTTGAAAAGAACACATTTGCTATAAACATCGGCTGCAAGTGCTACCATCGTGTGTTCAACATCATGTTTGGTTTGTGTGTTGGCAGATTAAATGCTTCTTCTAAAATTATTAACCTTTTCCCTCGCAACAAAGTGGTCAGTGAGTTATCCCTATGAAATAGTGCATAGTTTAGAGCTGAGAGAGTGAGTTACTCCCTGCTGCCTCGCAATCCTCGCATATACACATTGCACTCTTTATATTCACAGAAATTGCTTCCACTGTTGTGATTGCCAATAACAGAAACGGCAGAACCAAACAATTAGAGTATAAATATTTTGCACCGACACGGTCCAAACTACATACTACATATCACACTATTACTAATGATCACTGAGTTCGGCTCCAGTACTACTCGGTGAGAGGTTGCACCTCAAGTGAGGAGGAATATCATCGTAAGTAGAACACATAGCCTCAGGCACTGCCAACAAATGGCGCAGACGACCAATCTCGACGGACAAGCTCCGCCATCCTCCAACGACAAGAACTCGGTCTCCGGGGACCACGCCAACCAAACACTTATTCCGTGGGTGTAGCAAGCGGGAGACGGGAGACCAGACGCATCTCACATCGTCGTAGCAATAGACAGACGTGGAATCAGACTCCGAGTCGTCAACGCCTCCGATTGCGAGCAAACGACCACCGAGTGTGACGAGAGACGAAAGAGTGAGAGGAAGCTCCTCTATTTCCTTCCACACACTCCTCTGGAGTTTTCCTGCTTGATAAGATAAGAGACCGGAGAGACTGGCTCCCAAAACTGACTTGGATGAGTCACCACATCCATTGTAACCTCCTCCAACGTAGAGCACACCCCCACATATTGTTGCCGACATCTCACCGAATCGTAGCGGGAGGCTACAGGCAGTTCCCCACCGCTCTGTCGATATCTCCATCACTTCTACCATGTCCAGGTACCTACTGCCGTCATACCCCCCGACAACTATCAGGAAATGTTCGGTGGTAGCAGAAACCGCGTCGCAGCGTGGGGTGGGCATGCTGGGGAACACTTTCCTTTCCCTCAATCCCTTCCTCGTTAGGCTGTGAACAGAGTCTGTGCAGTCAAACAGACCCTGCCCTCCGACACTCACGAGAAGGTCGCTCAAAATCGCTAGACTCGCGTTGAAGACGGTGTTGTCGGGAAGTTTAGACCACGACTGTCCATGCTGGAACATCTTACAGACGTATATCTTTTTCGAGTTGTGAGGACTAAAGAAGACCGTGTCGCCCTGCGCCACTGCCGAACCCCGAAACATTTCCTCTGGAGCGTTCCTCTCCTCCTTCCAGGCTATGTTTGGACCGTCAGTGAGAGCTTCTGTGGCCGTAACGTCGCCATCTTTGCCATCCGGTTCATGAGCAGGTGAGTGTCCAGGACCTGTTCCCTCTCCTTGGTTCCTGAGCCTCTCCCCTGCTTCCTCGAGCTGCGCTTCCAGTCTGTCGCGTGCGGTTCGCAGCTGCGAATCTCTCGCTCCTTCTCGCCCATTTCCTCCTGAAGTTGACTCAGCTCCTCCTCCTTTGCTGCCAGTTGCTTTCGCTGGACTTCAATCTGCTCTCGGTGATTCTCCACCTCCTTACTCCCCTCCCCTGTCCCCCTTCCTCCTTTCTTGCTGTCATCCACTGAATGCACACTCTCAGCGTATTGAGGAGTTTGTTTCAATTCAGAGAGAGTCTCACTCAGCTCCTGAGCCGATGGGCGCTCTGCCTCCTTGTCCCTCAGACAACTAATGGCTACAGTCTTTAGAGAGTGGGTGTCAGGGATGGGCTCCAAGTGAGAGGAACGCCGTTGGGTCTCAGGGATAGCTACCCTCACTGAGCCCTCAGGGTAGTCCGGGATGCTGATCACCTTGAACCTTGGTCCAGGGTCAGGGAACTGCCGGGTTACTATCTGGATTAGGAGAACGCCAAACGAAAACACGTCCAGTTTGTCCGTGTAAGACGGCGGGTCATCTAGGGCCTCTGGAGACATGTACTGCACGTTCCCGGGGCACAGTGTCATGGGAGTCATCCGGGGATTCGCAAGGAAGAGCTTGGACATCCCGAAATCAGTGACTTTAGCACGGGTCCCAGCAATCATGAGGACGTTGTTTCCACTGAGGTCACGGTGAATGAGAGCGTTCAGATGGAGGTAGGAGAGAGCGAGAGATATGTCGTGGGCCACGCTCAGCTGGACGTGGAAAGGAAGAGGTTCGGGGGAGCGTTCAAGAAATCTAGAGAGGCTCTCGTCACACAGTTCCATGAGGAGTACAGGGAGATGGGTTTCAGGGTCACAATAGGTGCCAAGATACTGGACTATGTTTGGGTGGCGGGCAGACCCCAGGAGGTGGCACTCCTGCTCAAACCTGCCCAGGTAGGAGACCGTTCCGGGGTCACGGAGGTCAAAGAGAGTGGGGTGCATGATCTTTGCAGCACAGATGAGACCATCACACTTTGCCTTGCACACACCGCCATACGATCCGGTCCCTAGACCTTGCGCTTTCAACAGCTCCACTCTTCTAAATCCAAACTGCTCTCTACTGCAACCCAGAGCTTCGTAGTGATGATTAGACATGGCCACACTAAACAGACACCTGCAGGTTTGTGGCAGTAGCTTCAAACGTTCTTCTTTATGTAGTCCAAGGGAGTCAATACTGCTTCCTACGTATGTATGACTTTGTTTGGTGTGGCATGTTTATACCACAGCTTCTACTACAGTTTCATGGAAAGGGAATCTGCCCATCACAACCCATACCACAACACGTGTGTGTGTGTGTGTACACAAACAGGCACAAACACCCTCCCACACTCACTTTCACAACAAGATTCTCCACTCTAACAAACACACAGTGTTACCGAAAATAGTTGTCCAGGGTGTAGTTGTGCCTTGCCTTTGCCCGGAAACCTATCACTGTCGACACATGCACATCAACTTATTTCAGATATCATAAGGAACACGATTCAGTTGTGAAACACTTTGTGTCTCACTAACCCTCTGCGCAGCATGTGTATGCGCAGCGAGGGTTACGGTACTTGGTTTGTAAGTGTGTGTGTGTCTGTCTGTCTGTCTGTCTTTTACCACATTTTCAGCCACCACACGCAATGGGAGAACAGAAGAGTGATACCAAACGCAGGACAAGTATTGACTCCCGCATGCTATCTAGTAGTGTAGCTAGCCCGAGACAGACTCTCCGCAACCTGGTAAGACACCACGAGTATATATATATATAGGTTACACTATGCCCACGAGACGGTTTAGTGGACATACACTACGAGTGCGCAGCAGGGTGTAGTGTAACCAATTTGTACCACAGGAATGCGCAAGACAACTTATTAGTATGCATGCCATGGTGTATGAGAGCTCATACACCACATGTGAGTGTATGGCTGAGTCAGCACACCATATACCATGGCATGCATACTAGTGAGTTGTCTTAGTGCGCATACACTGCATGCGGTGCCTTTGATTTCTAGGGCTTCTGTGGTACAAGATAGTAAATTAGCCCAGCCCATCAATTATTGCGGTACCGTGCATGCGTACTTACTTGTACTTACGTGCGTGCGTTTCTAGTGCCGGCGGGTTTGCACTTTAGTGATTTTCATTTTATAGGCATGGTCTTGTACATCTGTTTAGCATGATACAACATATATCCCTATATCCCCATCTTAAATGACTCTTAAGATGCAAGGGAGGAATACACACCTTGAATATGTTTATTAAGATTTGTTCCTTCCGTTCTTTCGTCTTAGTGATATTACCCACCACTGATTTAGAGTACATTGTATGTAAGTACAGTTTTGAAAATAAATGTGCCAAACCTTTCGGTGTGCTCAGATTCATCCTCCAGGCCAGGCAGGAGTCCGAGGACCATTCCAGACAGACATGGAACGAGGCCGCGCCCCACGGCCAGGTAGTACCTCTCATAGATGTCCAGTAGAGATGGCCTCACTGACATTGATCCGTGGCCCAACAGAGGAAATAGCCCGCTGCTGTACACCAGCAAACTGCAGGGGAATGAGGCAACAACACTTGGAAATCATCAGTCAGTACGTCATCAAGTCAACTGTCTCGCTGGACATTTTAGTCTAAGGTCCTAGTCCTAGGCATTGAGACTAAATTCTATTTTGCTAAATGTAAGTACTTGTACTTCACATCAGTGTGCATGGCATTAATTTTATGGAGAGGGTGATTGAAGACATTGAAGATGTAATGTTCTCAATTAGCACTATTGGTGAAATAATGGATCCCACCTTATACTTCACAGTACAGTGTATATCTTCTTTATTAAAAGGGAGGGAAAAAGTCAAACAGTCAAGACAAAGGTTTGCTGCTTGTTGGGAAAACAAAATATGTTACAGATGTCAGCCAAGCCGGTATCTGGAGAGGCATAAGAGGTGCACGGTCCAGGGAATAGAGGTGGCAATGGATAATGTCACGAGGCATTAGCACATTCTGGGACACTGCATATATAGCCCCATATGTGACTCTATAGCCTCGTTCTTTTGCATGCTACAAGTGTACATTCTCTGCGGAAATAAATATTTACACATTCTTTGTTTATAAAGTACTACCAAGAGTACATATTTTGCAAAACTTTGTGCATGGCATTAATTTTATGGAGAGGGAGAATGAAGACATTGAAGATGTAATGTTCTCAGTTCTTAGAATTAGCACTATTGGTGAAATGAAAAGCACTAAAGTGCAAACCCTCGGCGAACTGCGTACAGCTAATGGATGGGCTGGGCTATTGGCGTTTACTTGCGGTCTCCCGCTAGTACTGTATATAGCTCACGGAGAGTCTGACACGGGCTAGCTACGGTAGTAGATAGCATGCGGGAGTCGATACACACCCTTCGCTGTGGCTTCATGTGCCTCCAAGGTACACAGAGCAAGCGAATCAGGTCGAGGTGAGCCAGCATACTGCGTCGATCGCGTCTAATACACGCATGCGCACCGCTTATTGATGGGTTGGGCCACGCAACGCTGTCCGCGACCGTGTCAGTTTGTCGCTCTCGAACGCAGTCGTTTCAGCAAAATCGCCATTTAATTTTTCTAGCCCATGTACCGCTAAAGCTGTTGGTATCGCTCATAAGCCGCCTCGTAGCCTGTAGTGCGAGAATAGTCGTAGACAGACAGACAGACACACAGAACGACTACCGTAACCCTCGCTGCGCATGCACGCCGAGGGTTAATAATGGATCCCACCTTATACTTCACAGTACAGTGTATATCTTCCTTATTAAAACGGAGGAAAAACAGTCAAACAGTCAAGACAAAACTTTGCTGCTTTGTTTGGGAAAACAAAATATGTTGCAGATGTCAGCCAAGCCGGTATCTGGAGAGGCATAAGAGGTGCACGGTCCAGGGAATAGAGGTGGCAATGGATAATGTCACGAGGCATTAGCACATTCTGGGACACTGCATATATAGTCCCATATGTGACTCTATAGCCTCGTTCTTTGCATGCTACAAAGTGTACATTCTCTGCGGAAATATATACATATTTACACATATTATGTATTCCACGCCCGTAACGAATTTTGTTTTATAAGTACTACCAAGAGTACATATGTAAGTGAGAGAGAGAGAGAGTATCAAACTGTGTATACCTGTGTACAAACACTGTGTATAAAGTAACGTGACAAGCATGTGATGAAACTCTGTAGTTTACTAGTAGATTACGGGTTGTTTTACAGAGTTTCATCACGTGTGTGTCACCTTTACTTTTGACACAGTGTTTGTACGCCAGCATACGCAGTTCGCTACTCTCTCTTATGTACTCTTGGTAGTACCAGGTTACAATTTGTCACACGTTCCAAATTGCGTCTTTGTTGGTCTCAACCAAACACACATTTTGTAAACTAGAGAGTTGTAGGCACAGACGGCGAGTGTATAGTACTACTACATACTGTATACTTTTCTGAAAGGCCTTTGGTGCCAATACGGTCGAAAATGGCCCTGTACACATCCAGGGCCTTGAGATGAACTCCGCCAGGGAGGTTGGGATGGAGACACTGGGACAACCTCTTTGACACCAGTAGCTGATGCGGAACTGCTGGGTACTGCTTGTAGGCCAGTAGGGTCTACGGTAGAGAGATGGGGGTGTAAAAATGGAAGAAAGAGGTAGGGATACAGAGAGGAAAAGAGGGAGCATGGTGGGATAAGAGAGTGGAATGGAGGGAAAGAGAATTAAGAGAAAGGAAGTTGAGATGTAGGGGTTAACCAGTGGTTTTGGGTGCATCAAAAGGTCTAATTCACATCATCAACACATTGCACACACAGCCGCAATAGCAACCTAGGTCAAACTTGATGGACGGAAAATGAGTGATTTATCGCAACTGCTGTTCCAGTATAGCACCTTGTTTAGACGAGCCAGTGACGAGATGAGATCGTGCCATTCTGAGGAGAGCTCGAACCCTTTCAGCGATCTCTCCACCGCTGCCGAGAACTGCTTGTACTTGGCCTCTCCCCTGAACTCCTCATCTCCACTGCTAGAGCTCTCGGCCATCAGAAGAGCCCCCGATAGAGACACGTGTGTGCACCACGCAGGAGTTTCTAAAAATCGCGCACCACCGCTGATGCGTATTATTTAGGGTTATAAACACGTGTGTGGCAATGTTCGAAGAAGACCCCCAATGGGGCCCAGGAAGCCCTAATCCCTTTGTGGAGGAGTTGCACCAGAAGCTATTTGGAGGTACAGGCATAGATGCACCGTTTTCAAGCAAGAAGAAGGAGAAACGTAAGCGGAAACGCAATGAAACAGACTCCACAGAAGATGAATCGTGTAAGAGAGAACGCAGGGAAACGAGTGCGGGCGTTAGTGGCGTGTTAGACGAAGCCAGAGCACAAGAGCAGAGCCCATCACAGAAGAAACTGAGAAAGTCTATATCGTTTCAAGGACATAACGGGGCACACAGCAGCAAACAGGCAGACTCAAGCCCTTCTCCGCAATATTCACTAAGAAAGCCTAAGAACTCGAAGCTCTACTCAAAGTTGTCCACCCAGTTGGAGGGGTCTAGGTTTCGAATGATCAACCAGCAACTGTACACCACAACAGGGGAAGATGCAAAACTCGTGTTTGACGAAGACCCAGAACTTTTCGATGTTTATCACAGAGGCTTTGCAGCTCAGGTGGCCAAATGGCCTGAAAACCCAATCGACCGGGTTATAGCTCGTGTTCAAACTCTTCCTGAAGATACTGTAGTGTGTGACTTTGGATGTGGAGAGGCAAAACTTGCCGAGAGCGTCAAGCAAAGAGTGCACTCCTTTGATTTAGTTGCAATCAATGAGCGGGTGACGGCATGCGACATGGCTCATGTACCACTCAAAAGACATACAGTGGATGTCTGTGTGTTTTGTCTTTCGCTGATGGGTACTAACGTATCAGACTTCATCAGAGAGGCCAGACGTGTTGTGAGAAAGGGAGGAGAGATGAGAATATACGAAGTCTCCAGTAGATTTCCCTCGTTTGATGTGTTTGTGAAGAACGTGGAAGCCTTTGGATTCAAGCTGGTGTTCCGGGAAGAGTTTAGCAAGATGTTTGTGGAGTTTGTGTTCACAGCAGTGACCAAGCAGGCTGGCTCAGATACTGATCTGCCACTGATTTCTCTCAAACCTTGTGTGTACAAAAGACGATAGTATTGTGCATTACATCATGTCGTTTTTTAAAATACTGATGTGCTGTGACTTGCTGTGGGTCTGGTTTGCTTGCCAATTGCAGTGTGTTTACAGCAGGCGGCAGCTATAACATGAAAACTATAGCCATGACTCAATACAATCTTGCCATGAATAACAAGACAGTTGCCATGCATGCAAGTAGAGAGCCTAGCCAGAAGTAGTTGAACCACACCCCTTCTTGTGAATAATATTGTACAGTCACATTACCAGTGAACACCAACATACCTAAGAATTGACTCTGGCTATACATGAACGATAAACATGGCACAGAACAACTATATGCACCCTACTGACGGGAGACTAACGTCGGCCATAGTTCACTCCTCGTAACCCTCGGGAAGAGCGTTTGCTCCGGAGTTGTGGAACAGAGAATGGTTCCCGTCGCCCCACGGAAACGGCTTTGTCCTGATACGGAGGTGGGAGTAGGCGTGGAACTCTGGTTTCCCGTGCTCCTGGATGTGGTGGTGGTGCTCCTGCTCTTTCTGCCATCCGTTGTAGGCGGTGAAGATACAGAGCGGAATGGCCCCAAACAGCGAGATATTCCGCCAAGTGTTGGTGAGGCCAACGGCGTAGTGCTCCTCCGCCTCTATATTCTTGATGTATGTGCTCGTCGAGCGTCTCCATGCTCCCTGAGCACGCCGCAGACCAACTCGAGCAAACGACGCCATTTTATCTATCTGGGTATCGGTTCAAAGTGCGGCCGTAATCTCGAAACCTGTAGTATACGGGAGAATGCGAAACTCTCCACTGCGCCTGCGCGTGTCTGTTGGGTGAAAATAAAATCTTGAATCAAACACTACTCATTCATTGTCAGTGACCAGAGTGTTTTGTTTGGCCCATAGCTCGGCATAGAAAGAGCTAGGTCTCTGTATGAGGTCTAAATGACTTCCTCTCTCCATTACTCTCCCATCTCCCAGCACCAAGATCTCGTCAGCATCCACAATAGTAGACAGACGATGAGCTATAAATATGGAGGTCTTCCCCTTTATCACTCTCCGCATGGCTCCAAGTATGTTCTGTGAAGTATATCAGTACGTTTACTTCATTGCTGATCAGAAAAACCAGAGATACGTAATTTTATTACAAAAACAGTTACAGTGGAACCTCAAAAAAGGCTTTGGGAATATAAAAAGGTATCCTAAGGTGTGCTGTTTAGGAGATCTCACTAATTCATATGCTAGTCTACTTTGCATGCCATAATTGTTGCAGACTTATGCCTGATTTCCATGTGTATGGTTACATAATAACGTGCACTGATTATATACTTGCTCTGTGATGGAGTCCAGGGAGGAGGTGGCTTCATCGTACACCAGGACAGGAGAGTCTTTCAGCACAGCTCTGGCAATGGCCACTCTCTGCTTCTCACCTCCTACATATAATAATACACACAATACCACATACATTGTGAACAGAAAAGATCGGACAATGAGCCTACAACATGTACACTTCGCTACACAATGGATAAGGAATGAAAAGCACAGTGAAGCGTGAATAAAACCTTTTAAGGGAGACAACAGGGTAGCATGTTAGTCCAACTCTAGAGAAAACTGTACTATTCCACCTATGAAAGTTTGCCTCTGCATGCATGATGATGTACACATCGCTCTCATGGATAATGTGTATTATCCGTCCCATGCTTGATGCACAGACTGTATATAGTACCTGAAAGCTTGAGTCCTCTCTCCCCCACCTGTGTCTCATACTTCATGGGCATATTCTGGACTCCGTTGTGGAGGTTTGCCATCTGAGACGCAGCCAGCACCTCCTCGTGGCCGGCAGAGAGCCGCCCGTAGGCTATGTTGTAGTTGATGGTGTCGTGAAATAGGACAGGATCCTGTGGGACGATGCTCAGTTGTCTACGCAGGCTGTCAACAGTCACATCTCGGACATCCCGATTGCCAATCAGGACACGTCCCATTGACGGATCGTAGAATCGGTAGAGGAGTCGTACTATCGTAGACTTACTGGAAAAGATTTAAAAAACGAGGTTAGATAAACACCATGACTACACTCTGCTCTCTAGGCAGAGCATTCTTCCTACTGTTCTACAGGATCAGCTTAGTAGGCAGATAGCTAGTACAACAAAATAGAATTAACCAGCGGTTTTGGGTGCATCAAAAGGTAGGTATAATCCAGCTTCTGATATGGGACACATTATCCACGCATTGCACACACAGACGCTACAGCAAGCTACAGTAGGTTATACTTGATGGACGGCAAATGAGTGATTTATCGCAACAGCTGTTCCTGTAGAGCACCTTGTTTAGATGCGCACAGTGCAAAAGGGAAATACTAGCACACACCCAGAGCCACTGCCACCAACAATGGCCAGTTTTTTGCCAGCAGGTGCTCTGAAGCTGAGTCCGTCCAGAATCATCTTCTCGGGAGTGTAGCTGAACGACACATCCTCAAACGTGACTGTCGCTTCTCCTGGTTCAAGGTGAAGCGCAGGGGCACCTGGCTTCTCCTGCAACAAAGTTAGACTTCAAGTTAGTGTGTATTTGACTACTATACATTGGTGAATACACAACATACAGTTAAAATGGACACTTTGAAAGTGAACTGTGTTCTAACAAACCTTTATGCTGGAGTTGAGGCTCAGTAGATCAAACATTTGCTGCATGTCAATCAGAGATTGCCTGATGTCTCTGTACACTGACCCCAGAAAGTTGAGAGGAATGGAAAGTTGGAACACTAGACCATTTATCATGACCAAATCACCAACTGTCAGCGTTCCTGGGAATAAAAAAAATAAAACAGAGAGCATACTGCAATACAAAAGCCCAAAAAGTGGTAAAATATTTACAGAAACTGGGTAAAAGTGTAGGAAAAAAAGACGTCCCTGGTGGGACTCGAACCCACAACCTTTGAATTAGAAGTCCAATGCGCTAATCCATTGCGCCACAGGGACACCTTGCGCAAGGAACCTACAAAATGCCCATATAACCTATGCACGTGGCACTAGTGAATTATTCATATCCCTTACCGGAAACGACTCCCTGGCTTGCCATGACCATGAGTGTCGTCAGTGCAATGGAGAACGTGGCACTCTGCCCAAAGCTTAGCAGAGAGAGACTCGTGGTGGTCTTTAGTGCAGCTTTCTCATAGAGTGCCAGTGCCTTATCGTATTCATTGGACTCAAAATCTTCGTTGTTGAAATACTGCGAAAGAAAGGAAGTGTTCTGGTGAGCTACACATTACAGGTAATGCTGACAATTACACTATGTAAGAAAGAAGCGCAAAGGTGAGAGCAATGGAAAAGAGAACATGTGACATGTGTGCACAACCTTCAAGATGGTGGGTGTTACTTTGACTGTTTCGTAGTTGATGAGAGAGTCAATAGCCTTGGAGCCTGCTTCACCGTCAGCCTTGTTCATCTGAACACGGAACTTTGTCCTGCAATAAAATGGATTGACTAGTGAATAATACCTTCGAGAAAAAGTTTTTGCCGTTTATGCACCCTTCAGGGAAAGTTTTTTGGGGGTAGGGAATTGTAGAACCAGCAGTTACATATTCCACAGGGGGGTTTTCCCCATTGAAATTTCTTTTCACCGTACATACAATGCCGTACTGTACAATGTGAACGATACATACAACATACTGTCCCTCCTCCGCCTCACCTCCATTGGGTGACTCCGAGAGTGAAGGCAGCATACACTGACAGAGTCCCTATAGTCACCAGAGCATACGACAGCCCAAACTTGTACGTCTGTATGCACGTGTAGCAAGAAAAACACAAATCATTCTGGACCTTACTACCCCGCACAGAATTGGAGTGAATATGTCATAAACCAGTGTGGAGAATGCAGCTGTGGAGAATACACAGTAAGTGGTGCAAGAAACGGACCAGAATGCCAGAGACGAGGCTGACTTCAAAGATGGTAGGAAACACATTGAACACCAGAGCCGACAGCACAAAGTTGATTCCTCTGCACACAAATACATACATTCTTATTGGTCCACACTAGAAATGCACTGACTGTATATACAGTACATGTGTAAGTGGAATTTAATTTGTGTACTGCACCTACAATTGTTATGGTAAGACGGAATTCCAGCTAGTCTAAAACACTTTTGTTTTGTTTTACCTCATATAATATGTTATTTTTGTGCTGCTGTGTTCCTATGGATTATTTTTGTAACCTTTTATACCTCTATATGGTTATATTTTATATGTCGCAGATTATTTTTGATACCATTTGATAACTTTTTAATACCGCCTGTACCGTCTGTTGTACTCATTTCATCAACCACCTCGTAGCATCAGCTCGCTTGTTTTGCTAGTCCCAAGTAAGCCCTGTATGTTAATTGTAGCCCTTTTGAAGTCCTGTTTTCTTTCTCTTTTTCTTTCTTTCTTTTTATGTATATAGCGTGAGCTGTTCAGTTTTCATGCTATACTACTGTACCGTACAACACTACATACAGTGTATGTAGTGCTATAAATTTAATACAGTGTATGTAATGCTATACTTACCGTACTACAACTACTACAGTGTTGTAGATGTTAATACCGTACCGTACAACACTACATACAGTGTATGTAGATGCTATACTACCGTACAGTACAACACTACATACAGTGTATGTAGATGCTATACTACTCTACCGTACAACACTACATACAGTGTATGTAGATGCTATACTACCGTACCATACAACACTACGTACAGTGTATGTAGATGCTATACTACTCTACCGTACAACACTACATACAGTGTGGTTAGGTATTACCTGGTTCCTCTGTCCACCGCCCGTGACATGGCCCCGGTGTGTCTGCTGAGGTGGTAGGCGTGGTCCAGGGAATGGAGGTGGAGGAAAGTCGATTTGGCCACTCTGCGGATGGACGTCTGTGCAACCTTGGCAAACACGGCGTTACGGAGTTCGTTGAACAGGGACGACCCTATTCTCGCTGCCCCAACTGCAGTAGTACAAAAATCACAAGGCAATTAAACATGTATATGATGCTTGTACTTAATTTGTTTTCCTTGCCTTTGCCTTGCTACACCTTGCATTGACATGTTTTTAAATTGGAAGAAAACACCTCCAACGAGATTATTACTGATGGAAATTCCCATCGTAAAAACAATACAATACTTTCCCTACATTATAAATACACACATACATAGTAAAATCAAGTACAAGAACATGCAGTAGTCAACTATACGTTAACCTACACAGGCATACATCCGAGGAGGAGAGCAGTTCCGATGGTAAAGATGGTGTTCTCGGGAGTAGAGAGATCGGGCAACTTGTTGAAATAGTCAACCGCATACTTGAAGAAGAACGGCACTTGCACGTTTATCAGCTGTGTACATGAAGAACAATTCAGGAGACTATAAACAAAAAAAATCGTACACTGAGGTGATGACATAGCAATGGACTAATGCTAAAGCAGCATTCGCTATCAGCACAAATTTTAGTCTTTTTCTGAGACACTACGCTTCCCACCCGATATATAAGGCGGAATCTGTGATATATTATGCGCACCAGGAACTGACCTAATCTTAGTATCAGAGCTAAGGGGTCAATAGTACGTAGCCGTAGAGAATAATATGCATGTCTCCCTCTTGTGGAGAACATCGTAGTGGCCACTGATGCCTATCTGTACGCAGACGCGTGTTTAGTAAGAATAATATTACCAACCAGTAACATTACACACACGCAGTGTCTTCATTCTAAGCGTAGACAGCAATCTCTACTGTACCAATTTGGTTCATTCGGCTCACCTTGGCTCCCACCAGTAGTCCCAGGGCAGTCACCACTCTGACCTTGAGCCACGGGCGATCGCGAGGCCACACGTGTCTTATCATCTCTCTGATAATCTTCCACCCATTCAGCTTCTGGATCTTGTCGTGGATGACACTGGATCCGTGGAACTGCCTCAGGACACCCACACACAGGCCAGGGCCTTGCCTCCAGCTACCTGCACCCTATGGTGATACAATGATGTATATACAAATCGTAGTGCTGGAACCGCTAGTCACCGGTGGTAAAATACACACGCAGCTATTGGTTCGCACTCGTCCTCTTGGTTAGGTGTTCAGCGTGTTTAGTTTGCTGGTCTTTGATGACCCCGAGTTGAACTCAGGTGCTTTTATGTGAGGTAAAAGGGGGTAACTCCGGACACATGGGGCGTAACACCAGCCTCAAAATTATTCAAAAAACGTGAGGAAGATTTGTTAGCTCTCTGGTAGATAGTAATCAAGTGAATATATATGCGAATCTTTCTCTTGTTTCTGAATAGCGAGTTATGTGTCTGTATTATCCAGTGTCCGAAAGTTACTATTACCTTACACATCATCTGACACACAAAACTAGGATGTTTCTTTACTATTAATGTGACACACAAACCTGTCTGGTGAAACATTGTCTGACCTAGTGCACACGTCTTGACCACTCTCCATCGACTGTCGGTGAACCGTGGAGACCCTAGTGGTGGGCGGCATCAAGTGGAAATAACAACCACGGTGAGTCGTCCCGAGCACACACAACACGGACATCCAGCAGACTCTACTCGCCTTAGAGTATCCGCCGCACCGGCTCCTGTCAACTTATATGAGCCTACAGAGAGTCGGCAGACGCAGTTTAGAAGCAGAACCGCATAGCGACGACATGTGTCGCTCTCGCTTCGACTGGACCGGAGGTCAGCTGTCGCACTGGGGTCATACCCGCAGCAGATCCGTATCAATTGACCGTTTTGGAGCCGAAGTCGAAGGAGGAGCGTAGCTAGATTGTAGACTGGAGTGCGACTTCTGTCGATAATGCTGCAGTTCTGTGTTGCTCGTCACCTGTACGTAAGGCCAATGTCCGAGCGCTGATCAGCTGAAGAAGCAGGTGGAGCGAACCGTAAAGTGATGCCACAGTGCTGAAGAGCGTTGCGGCTCGACACTCTGAAACACTATCACCGCCCTGCGTTGGCCAGACGACTGCGACGGTCGGCGTGTGTGTGTGGGCATCGTTGAGCAGCCCTCTATCGTGGCAACACACGGGCTCCGAGTGGAACTCATCAGACAGCACGTCACGGGATCGGAGAACTGCCCGACATCTGGCATAGTGTAGAACGGAGAGCCGGTGTTGCGAGATAGCGACCTGCAAAGATTGTGAACTGGTGTTTTTGTGTGGGATACACTTGTCACTCTATGATCCTAGGGTTAGCTGACATGACCGCTTCAGTAACTCACCTCCCAGTAATAAGCAGCGCATTAATGGGAACTGCAGATGTCATTTAGGTGAATTGAAAACAGGAAAACCAACCTCTTAAGTTGTAGAAAAATGAACGCAAGCGAATGTGATTCTAGAAGCAGAGCTTTTTCTTTGTCAACACAAACCACTGGTGTTCCACCAGAGTGTGCACAAACAGAAGCGTTGTCAGGCTTGGAAATTGAAGGCGTACATTGACGCCTACATTTATGACTTTGCTATAGGTGTATGACATACTGTTCATAATGAAACGAATGTAGGCTAAGAGTGATCTGAGAGTCTACGGAGTGCAGTGGGGCGCAGCATAAGTGGTGTTCTCTGAATGTGAAACGTTTTTTTAATGAGTTGTGATAACTTCAGGGTCTCCCCTTAGTATGGTCAGTGTTTCAAACTGTACAGTTATATATATGTAATTAGTTCTTGGGTTAGGTTTACTGTTATTAAGTGGGATAGAGCATTTCTATTATGTTTGAGGCCAACTGCAAATTTTTTTCGTGTGGGAATTCCATATGCAAACATTAAATTTTAGCAACTTGTTTTTCTTATGTAAATTACAGGGTGGCCCATTGTGCAGGATGATCACATTAGATGATTTTCATGTGATCAGTGCGCTGAATCCACAGCTCATCGTGCACTTGGGCTCCAGGGGTGAGGGGGGGTGGGGGAAGGCCTAAAGACCCTCTAGCAACTGTGTAATTTCCATTTTTTATTTGCCAAGAACTGCCTCGTTCCCAGGCCTTTCCCCGCTCTGTCATGCATGCACAGCAAATTACAACGTACGCAGGGGGTGGACGACGCTATGCAAGCAATGTGAAAATGGGTTCAGCACCTATGTATTCCGATATCGATATTGTCATGTGAGAGACAAAGCCGGGACGGCAGAGAGGGGCGACGGCCGAATGCTGGTTCACGGTTTTAGGGTAAACAACTCTTGCACACAAAAATGAAGAGATTGTTCACTCCTGAATAACTGTCAGTAACACATCATTCACGATAACAAATTTTCGACTCACTTATATTAAAAATGTGTTGATAGCCACTCTCATCCAATTTGAGGGATTATGAGGTCTGACGGACACAGACCCCACATCCATTCCTGATCGCAACCGACAGCAACGAACTGTTACATTAAAAATGCACACACGGTGCGACAGATCAAAAGTCACGCTCTCTGCTGGCCAGTACTTGCTTCCAAAATGTGCAGTGCAAAATTTTTAGGTAATACAGAATTTGGTATATAGTAATGTGTGTTAGCTTAGACCAAACCATCTTCGTGTTCTAATGTTTGACTGCAGTGTCCACAGAGTGTGGTACTTGTCCCAGCGATGGGAGAAGACGGCACTGACTGGATGTGGCCAGGCGCTCTCCGACAGTCCAGCAGCGCAGCCCTCACGTCTGGCGCCACAGACGTGGACATCAAATCTCCTCAACGACAGAGACTTATAGGTATACTACATCACACTCTTCTGTTGTACATACAGACATCATAAGGATGACCTGCAGCACTTGCAGCACGTACTGGGAATAGTGGTATAAGAAGTCTAGCACATGCACACACGCCGATTTTGCAATTCAGAGGACTGTTTTAGCAACCGTGTTTGTAAAGATACAACCACGGCATTCTACATCTACATACGAGTATTATAAACCCTTCACGAATATCTATCTTCGTCACCTCGTCCCTGGTCGGTCATATATACAGAGGACCAATGGAGGTTTTCCAGCGCCCAGTCTGGCAGTAGTAGCTGGATCTCCTCCCAGTCTACGGGATAGGATACTACTTGTGCACACTAGAATCTCACCGAGGTTCGGTAAAGTCATCCAATCAACACACTTATAACTGGAACAGTGACAGAAGTACTTGAATAATGTGCCATGTACGTGTAAATGCAGTGCGCAATTACGTCAGCTACCATTAGCACATACATTGATGCGCACACACACATGTCATGGTGCTCATATTGTGCACAGTATAATCTTATAAGCACAAATGTGGCTATATAGCGTATCCGTATGATATGCTATGTTGGAGGGAGGAGTCATGCCAGACACACAACGACGTCTCGCCTTTCCAAGCAGGAAGTTAAGTAACTACTGAGATTGCTCATCATTGTCACGGCAGTGACTGCATGGTGCCTCTTACCTCATGTGACTTCTCCACACCTGTCTCTGCTCCACAACTGACTATCTCTACCTTCATGTGTACTTCTCTCTCTGTCTCTCTCTGCCACAACTATCTACTTGGACCTCAGCGTCGACTTCTCCACACTGTCTCTCTCACAACCGTGCTATCTCTACCTTCACGTGACTTCTCCACACCTGTCTCTCTCGCACAACTATCTCTTACCTCACGTGACTTCTCCACACCTCGTCTCTCTCTCCACGATATATTATTAGCTCCACCCAAGATAATTACCTTACCAGCAGTTCACTCGCTGCTCACACGCTAACGCCGGCACGACACAGCGGTGGGAGGGAACAACAGGACACCCGGTGCGGAGACTCTCCTCATAGGAACAACTGACCATAGTCAATCTATGTGCACCATGCCGCTATATTTTGTACATGCACCTGCTGTACACGAAAACACTGCACCCAGGAGTACCGGACATGATTCAAAAGACAGGAGGGAGCGGGACGAGCCGCCACGAGTATGGCGGGACAGTACGCACGAGGTCCGCTCCGATAATAGTCTGAAGAATGCACTGAATCTCGATTATGAATTTGTTATGTACGATCCCATGATATTCCTGCTCCGATATTCTGATGTGACTGCGCTTACGAGGAAAGAGGCGCCGGCAGCCGGCAGTCTGAGAGAGATGTTTTTCTGTCGATGATTCTGCAATGGCATTCTGACTATCGATAATTTGTATTTCATGCGATATCTTTTGTCGAATGCTCGAGATGACAGATCGGTAATTATGCTCTCGGAGTGTTTTGATTTTCTGATTGATTTTTCTGAAATTATTTTTGTGAGAAGCATGCAGATAATGACGCGTCGCAGACCGTTAGCGATAAACATTGCGCTAGTGACTCCTTGGTGAGCCACGTGGGCAGTACGGGCTGTTTTAACCTTCGGTCACTACGTAGATCCTCCCTCTCTAACTCTTTATAGAAAAATGCACACGAAGCAACAAAAACGGCGACGTGCGTAGAGTATCATTCTTCTGGAAGTCTGCACCGCGTGCCACACAGGTGACATCAAGGTGCGTATATGCCTAGGTGGTCGGTATCAACGCCTATACAATTCAGATAATCCAAGTACTGGCACTATGTCATTGGTAACACACATATAGTCCGTAGTAGTAGTAAGTAGTAGTTACGTACATACTATCGATGCATGTGTTACTGTGACAAGTGGCGTCAATAAATAATTGCTGCTGCTGCTCGCGCTGTCTCAATATCGATCGTCGATTGAGAGGATTTCGCGGTGTACCACGCGCATAGGGGACGTCGCGTCCCTACCCACCCACGTGTGGGACGGCGAGGGACTTCTCTTCTTGAACGACGGCTACGGACTCCCTATAGGGGACAACCCCGTCGCAACGTGGACACAACCTCTCTTTGTAGTCGTTTTGTCGCTCCGATATGGATCCTTCCCGTGGCCACACACACAGAGCAGGAGTCGGAATGGGCACTATCTCCACGATCCTCGTTCGGCAGACCACCCCTGGCGGGCATCCTGATCTACGTCGTGTTTCCTCCTCTCCTATCATGCTGAGGCGAGGGGAGGCCGTGGGAAGGGCGACCGTATCTCGCCGCCGCGACCGTCACGGGACCTCAAACCGTCTATTTGGTGATGATAGTTACTGGTGGTAGGAGGTATTGGGTCTACTGACTGCTGGTGAGTGCGGACACGGCTTTGGTGGTCGTGCTGATGACTGACTCCACCGCTACTGCGACGAGATTTACTGGACTTGGAGTGGAAGGGAGAGTGCTTCGCACTCTCGCTATGGTCGCTTCCTTTCTCGCTCATCTCCTATCCTTGTCTTCTCGTGGTCCTTACGCGCTGACGACGAAGAAGACGGAGTCTTTCTTTCGCGAAGACGCCGAGCTACACATCGTGGTCTTTGTCCGCAGGACTTTTGCTCGGTCTCTCGTGTGCTCTTTGTCTCTCCCTGCTCGCTGCCGAGACCTCGTGGCCAGTAGGCAGTGAGCGATATGCTTTGACTTTCTCTTTCTCTTGCATCTCCTCTCTTGTGTCTCCTCTCTTTCTCCTTGGAAGCCTGTGCCACAACACAGTGTGACCTAAATCGCATGTGCACCTGCATAGACAAAGACTACGTGACTGATGACTTGTGTTCGAAAGGTCTGGTCGTTTTACAACAGAGCTGGGATCCACAATGACGCCCACCTACCCCATTCTATGTATGTATGTATGTATGTATGTATGTATGTATGTATGTAGTTGTACTAATACGATTCCACTTCATGCAGAGGTGTATAATTATAAAGCCTTGACTTCGATGTATACATTTTTAGCAGGCACACATAAAATTATTGTGTCCCCTCCCATAATATATGATGCAAAAATTCCCGCATGCAACCCTGACAGCTGCTCCTAGTCATCCTGAAGTGGTGTGGGGTGTACGTACATATGGGACAGCAATCACAAGCTAGTCAGACATGCATACACTCCATGCAGACTCCACTCCACAGGCTTACTAATGCCGCTGGTGGTCCTCTGCCTCTGCTGCTGGACGCGGGGGTGGTGTGGGGTACGGAAGGACTTCTCACTCTCCTCCACGGAATAGGCGGCCGCAATCTCCTCGGTTTGGGGAATCTGGGTACGAGAGGCTTCGACTGGAGGACACTGCTGGACTTGGACCTCGTCGTCTCCTCTGTGGGACTTGCCGCTTGGGGAGCACCCGACGCGGACTCCGGTCAGAGCTGTACACTTTGCAGACCTGTAGGGTTGCACGGGAGATTCAGCTGTAAAGTTTCGCTACACAACATGCTACTGATCTTCTTCGTTTACCCTGGTACTGCAACAGGTAGCCTGGGGAGATTTTGGTGCTGTGTGTGTGGTGTGGTGTGGACATCACAGTGCACACACTTTCACTTGTGGTGTGTCGTGCACGATGCGTGTGTGACCCGGCTGAGTGAGAGCATGTGTGTGTGTGTGGTGCGGGAGGTGGGCCCATCAGAGGAGCCACAGTCGTGCCTAGCAGCGCCTGTTCTCTGGGGAGGAGGGAGCATTGCCACTCCCGTCATGGATCACCAGCTTCGGCGCTGGAATAGCCGAAATACAAACCACTGTACACCATCGTCACCTGCCAGGAAGAGGAAGAAACGTGCGCTGTGCTAAACTCTGCGACATAGTACCTCCTCTACAAGGTCGTCTCCCTATCACAGGATTATAACTTCGTTTCTTCGTTTTGTTCACCCGCTACAAACGGACACCACCGCAGCACAATAGCATTTAGTTTGCGGAATTGTGTAAATCTTACTCTGGTCCTCCTCGATGCACTCCGAGGACTACATCCTCTATCTCCTGATGTGACCTCCAGGAGACACCTCGGTCAACACGGTCGTATCTCATCACTGACGGAGAGGGACAACACCACTTCTCTCAACTCCGTCACTACACACACACACACGGCGGGGTGAACCCCCATAATATAATTGATGCAGTGGGGAAGAACTTACAGTGCAGGAACAACTTACCTCTGTCACAGTAACTAGGCCATGTCAATTTACGACGCACACAGTCGACGCATAAGCTTGGCTCACCAACCCCACAAGAAAAGATCTCAACCAGCAATTATGAAGGAGCTTAACGGAGGAGAGCTCAAGTTACAGTGTTGTACTTACAACGACGACACTAAAACGGGACAAGGAAGACCTTGAGTAATTGTGTCTAAGGGTGTAGATTTAGTATAAACACTCCAGGACACTGTGATGAACCATGAGGGCCTAGTCAGACTACATTGGATATCCTACATAGGACGTTGGATATATACCAAACAATCTCTGCCGCACGTCAGTGATGCGATCTCGCTCTTGACTGTCGTTTTCATAGCTACGCGATCGACATAGAGTAGACACCTGTCTACACGTGCACCTGTTCTGAATATGCACACAACAACACCCACCAAAAACCCGCTCGCATTCAACGATCGGTATCTCGACAATCACGTGGTGTGACATAAAACACAGATACGTACGCGACTCAGCTTGAAATAACGGTGTGAAGTCACGAGTCAGCTCACCGGCGCGCGACTAGAACGCAGCAAAGCAGCAGGTATCTGTGGGGCACGTGCAATGCCATCCCAACTTGTTGTGATACAATATGTATATATTATAGGCAGGACCCACATACACACACACACACACACAAGTCACTGCACTGGTACAACGGATGCAGCACAAGTGGACACTACAGACATACATGCCGAAGATGGAAACGAGAGCGCAGTGTAGTGATTGGCTGTATTGGAAGACAAAGAACAGACAGATATAGGAGGCGAAGGCGGAATGGGTAGCGACAATGATGAAGCGTGGAACACGGAGTAGTAGTATAACATCTCCACAGGAGGGGGCCACAGTCATGGTACCACGGTATACACACATAATACATAGCTACTAGCGTGCGAGTGTGCCGTCTTTGCTAATGAGTGGGAGCATATAAGCTGTGCCATAGTTCACACGATCTTTACGGCCGTCCAGAGTCCATGTGTATATATATGCACACATCTGGAAGTGGTGTGTGCAGTGGTGTTTGTAGACAGAGTGTAGAGATGGTGTGGGGTATACTGTTACCGTACGTGTACCAGGTGAGGTGCTGTCCACTCGTCGCTTTCCGGCGGACGGGTCGTAGTTGTCTCATCTTCTGCGAGGAGCTCTCGCTCCAACTCTTTAGAGACGAGATATAACTATATTACACATGAAGTAAGTTCTAGTTATATATACTAGGGACTTTGTTTTTTACAAAAAGTATTCGAAATAATACCCGACATTGATTGTAGACGTACTCTACTAGTTGGATGAGTGTGAACAGATTAGAGCGGGTCTTTCTTTTACTTTCATCCCGTCGGATGTCGTCGTCGTACGCAGCCATCATACACATCCGCCACGCGCCACTCATCCCCAACCCCCTCCCTGCGCCCCTCCTCTGCCTCTCCCTCAGCTCCGCGGCCAAAGATTTCGGAAGCAGACGAAGCCCTCCCTATCCCTCGAGCACTCCTCCTTGGCCTCCTCTCCATCGTTTGCTTCTTCCTCTCCAGTTTCTCAAGCTCTTCTCGCAGCCACAGTGGCAGAGTCCGCCATCTTTGCTCGCCTGCAGTAGACAGTAGACATTGAGCCTCATTACTGGGGACTAGAGGAATTTGTCACAGTAAGCAGAGAACATGTTGGGTGTATATATAGTACAGTGTATGGTTCAGTGTGCAAAGGGGCTAGGTTCCAGGCTGAAGGGTTGTTTCTAGTCTGTGTTCAAATACAATTTCACAACGCACGCCAAACCCACACGTACAGGCCAATGACAATGGCTCTGACTGAAAACGAGAAGATAGCACGTACTTAGTACATTACATCATGTTACGCACACAACACTGCGTACAATACGCAATGTGTGTGTCATCACACACTACAGGAGTTATCGGCAAACGAACTATTATATCGAAACTATTTTTCCACGCATACTCGATCACTCACCTCCCTGGTAGGCAGCAAATGAGCAAAGATGGCGGGCAGGTCTAGTCCTCCAGCATACCCTCCGACAGCAGGCGACGCCGTACCCCATATACGAACGACCTCTACATTCGCATACTCTGAGACAGTTCACCAAAAGAGGGGTGGTAAATTGAGGGGTTATGGGGGGAATTTCCCGATGGTGGTTACACAGGGGTCCCCCCCGGCGTCCCGTGGAAGTAGTCGGAACTGGATTTTATCCCAGAACCTCCGTGACTGAGTCAAGACTCTCCATTTGACTTAGGGAATCCACCGCTACTTTGGGACGGTCGAAATGGAACGTTTGGACGGTTGTAGGTAGGGGTACGTATAGTACGTGGAGGGGGCAGGCCCCACGTAATCATAAGGCGTGGGTCTAGCGGCCACGTGGAATGGGGGTGGTTCGGGAATTGGGTACGGGGAGCCGCGATCGTAGGGTATTAAAACCACGACCGGTGGCCACGTGTGGGAGGGGGAGAGGAGAGAGGGCCTCTGACCCGCTCGTCGTACTCCCCGCTGCCAACGACCTCCCCCGGGGGGTAACCGGAGGTAGTCTCGGGGTGCGGAGCGTGGGTACCCAAGTGCTGAGTCGGGAGGGGGGCGTGTGGGGCAGGGTGGGGTAGCGGCGCGGAAGATAGTGATAATCATCCTCCGGCACGAGGGGGGGTAATTCACCCCCCATTATAATCCCCATAATACCTCGCCCTCCCTGCATACGCCACAGAGGAGTCACTCGTAATCAACTTACTATAACCTAAGGACTCCCTGGAGCACCTAGCGGCTCATCATGTCTGGCAGGGTGGCCCTGCGATCTTTCCTGTAATCACTGTCCTCCGTAAGAACTGTAGCGTCATTGGGAGGGAATGTTGTACCCCTCAAACTCTCTCGCTGGAGTAGGTAGGAGTAGGAGAATCTTCCGCCTCCTTTCGACCTGGCTTTGGAGGTTAATTCCTACAATGTCATTGAGCGATGGATGAGATGATGATAACGGATACAAACAAAGCTATGTGAAGACCATAATTATACCACAGTAAACTCACATCTGTATTCCACAATGTGTACAGCTTTGGTGAACTTGCAAAGCGACAGCGCACAATAAAAAAGGCGAGAAAAGGTTTGAAAAAGGTTTGTTTGGCACATCAGTTTGGTCCAAGGACGAAATTAGTTGCATGCATGGAATAAACAAGCCAATTTCCAACGTGTCCCATGCTTCGCTGTGCTAAGACACAAAAACACATTATCATAGGCAACAATCTTTTTAGATTAGTACTTCTCTCCATCGCGCTATCACTCTCTCATTGGCTAGCAATAGCAGCGACCTTCCTCTTGTGTCACTCCGACCGTCCTTCTCCCTCATGGCTGCCGTCTCTCTTCTCGCTCACCCTCCTCCCTCCTTGGCAATCGTTGCAGCAGCATTGAGGCTGAGGTGAGGCCTGCAGCGTCTGTAGCTGGGAGAACTATCCTCCCCAGACTCTCAACCATCTGCAAGTTTTCTCCTTCGGGGGTTGCCCTGTGATTCAGTCGGTTGATTTAGGCAGTTGTTTTCTTGTGCTCGGAGATTCCGCATGGTTGGCTCCGGTCCGTATCCAGTTCTTCGGAGAACCAGGATGCTGCTGGGTCGCTGCTTCAGCTGGGGTTGTCGGCCCATCCTCACCCTCCGTCGGGAAAAAACCCATTTATTTTATCCACTTTATGTTGTATCCTCGTGATCTTTGGTGCGTAGCACTCCTTTTTTCCCGACAGGCCACAACCCCTTCCGTCACCCTTCCCAATCACCACCTCAGACCCAGCTCGGTTTTTGTTTTTGATTCTTTGTTCCCCATTATCTTTTTTCTAAGATTGTATTCGCTCCATTCTATGATCCTCTTGCTCCAGTTACTCTATGTATTATTCTTTTCATTATATCCTGAACTGTCATCTTGTCATTTATCTAAATCTCCCCTGAATTTTTTGCCCAAAGTGTCTATTTTCATTTTGTCTTACATTGCCGGCCCCTTGCTTTATGTGTACCCCTCCTCATTATACTACCTCTTTTAGCCGACTCTCTGGCTTGTAGGCTTTTTTTTTTTATTCCTCTCTTCAAGTATCTTCCGCTGATACGTTTCTCATCATTCCCCTTCGAGCTTTGTCACTTTGTGCTCGTCAGTCCCCCCGTATTTTGTTACCATATGTTATTCTATTGCCTTAGTCCTTTGTATCACGTTCTTCTGTACGCTTATCTTTGTATTTCTTTTTATATCTGTCCATCACTTCCCTTGTGACCGTGTCAACTCTTGGCTTGGTCGCATACCATCTCCAGGTTTCTCAACCCTTTCCTTCTGTTTACGTTGCCTCTTCCGACTTCTCTTGCATCCTATTGGGGAGCGTCCTGTTTCCATTACTCTATCTCTTTCTCCAAATCTTTTATGCCTGGCCGCCCTCAACTGATCAAAGTAGTGACTGAAGTGAGGTGGGTCTCTCTCAGTGTGAACCCTCCTGCCTTTGGTCAAGATTTGTTCGTCAGACAATGGGTTGCTCTATCGAAATATTTGTTCCGCCGTTGGAACGCGCACCCCCGGTGACGCCGGAAATGGTTCACGCTCGGACGCGGAGGTGAACCCTACTACCAACCTATACCTCAGCTCTTCGCTTTGCTTGAGGGTATGGGCAAGGGATTTTGTGTTCTGCAGACAGTGGGGAGGAGACCTTCGCTGGGGAACTACACCATGTGCCTCCGATCACTCCAACCCGTTCCGCGCCGCTCTCGGGGACGTGAAATCTCTCCCCCCTTACTCGCTGGACAAAGTTGACGCTACCTCGGGGGGCCACCAAAACCGAGGGGTGGGCCCCATTGGATGCGGGAATTCGTCCACAACCGAGGGTGCATTTTATAAGTCCAGCGGTCTTCGACCAGTACCCGTGCTGGAGAGCGTGATAAACGAGGGAAGATTAGGGGTGCCCCCCTTGGCTTTCGATTCCTCTTGGTGCACACGAGGGGATGTGGATTCGCTTATGCTGTCCGCCTCAAAGATTTTGACCGGTTTGGCAAGAAGGGGCAGCTCGACCTGCCCGCTCTGGTTGAAACTTGCTGGTGGACCTGCTGTTGATGATTGTGACCATAGGTCCTTTAGCATACTGCCTGTGCTGAACAGGCAACCCCCCCGTTGCTGGCGTAGATTTGCTAATATGGTGCGCTGGTTGTGCCCTGGCAGCATTGCGGTTGCTGTTGTTGTTGTAGCTGTTGCCTGTAACTGTGCGGTCTGCCTGGTTGTCTATGTACGCTTTATGTAGTGAGTCTGGATATAGCAGACTGCTGGGACCCCACACTGAGCCGCCTTGGTTCGGCCCACTCCACGGGATCTGTGGGACAATGCGCTAACAGTCACAGACGTTAATAGTAGTACCGTTACCCAACAAGGTGGAAATTGATTACGAGAACCTTTACATAGGCCTCACGTTCAAGGTGTGTGGGTAAAACCTTACACGTGGGCACTCCGAGAATAGATTAGACAAATGATAGCAACACCGAAAATTGGTGCCATCAAGAAATCCCAAAGTTTATGTATGATAAGCTTGATTTCTCCCGGGTCTTTGAGCGCACGCCGCGTTGCCGTTAGGACATTAGTTCAGCCTAAAACCCCAGTGTTTGGATAAGATGCCCCTTCTCCCCTCTGCGATCCCATCACACATGAGGACAATTCATCTGTCTTTTGCAAAAAAATGCCATTCTTCTACGCTATTCCATCACCATTAAAATGTCAACGCACATGTGCCGCATTCAAATACACATGGAAGCACTTGCTTAAAAAACACAATTATTAATTATACACAAAACCCGTAATTCTTACGGAAATAAAGGAAGTGTGAGGGAGGGAGGGGGAGCGGAAACGCTTTGCCAGGGTTGATTGGATGTTGCGGTTCTGAGACGTCCACCAGGCCAACTGCTGCGCTTGCTTGCTGCTGCTGCTGCAAGCACAAAACCTCCCTAACCACTGCTGACCCCAAATCTTATAGGATGTTGTTACGGACACAAAACACTGTATAAGTTGCGTTACAAAATATGCTCTCCGAAGAAAACATACATTGCTACTAGACATCAACAAGTGATCAGCAGGAACTGATTACTGGATCTAATACAAAACAAGATTACTCTGCACTGACACCTACACCAGCTTACACGCAAGTCACTAAGAAACACCAATGGAGAGAACAAAACCTGGGTTTGTTCGCTTTATGAGCACACACCTCACGCTCGCAGAAGCTTTAAAACAGATCCAACGTGGCCAAACATAATTGTCGTTTCTAACACAGTTTACACCCAAAACAATGGAATACAACCACGCGAAAAATCTATTACGTTAAATGCAGAGCGAACACGCGGACCGGAAGAGCACCGCAGCGCAAAATGCCGCCCCGGTTCGGCGGGGAACCCCCCCCGAGACCGTAAAACAGCATCATAAAACTCAACGTATTATTGGAACATGAACTTCCTTACAACAACCAAAGCTTCCCTATTTCCCGAACATCAAAAAAAACCTGTTACAGCCGCTCCACAGACCCGGCCCGAGAACCGGAAGTCCCGGTTTGTGGTGAGAAAAAGCTTCGCGCATGCGAAGTAATATTTGTGCGCAGCGTATGAAGGACGATAAGGGACATTCCCTATGAGCACTATTTTTCACGGTCATACGCGAAGTTCGAAGACGACGATTCGAAAGTTGCTTGGGCAATTTACTGCAGTTTGTCCCTGCAAAATCGTTGTCTTTCGAAGCCCTAAGAAAGGCCAAGAGACCATTTATTGGTCTTCAAACAGTCGACTGACACCAACTGTTATATTCATTTCGGATTTGGGGTTTTCTTAGAGGGACGCACAGTTGCGCCGTTGAACGGACGCCTACCAACGCAGGGAGAGTCCGTTGTATCATCGCGATCCAATCCTTTACTATACAGACACTCGAAAAAGCGGTGAATGGTGAATTGGAGTTGCATGTCATCGACTCATCGAGCA